GGTTTTTACATTAAGTATACGCCATGTATGCCATATAATTGAAAAATTGTATGGAATAGCCTGAAAAGGTGACTCAAATCTATTTAATTTCAAACTAAAATAAAACCCAGACAGAATATTTTCAACGTAATTGTATTTGCAAGAAACATGTACAGAACATTTTCGTAATATTTTTACACTCTTGCAGGCTATTATAATTCTAGTCAGAAGCTAGCAAAACAGTGAAATAGCCAATTCCGACCATATAAATCATACATATTCTTGATCAGCATCAACAGCCGAATCGATCTAGCCATATCTGAAGGAAAAATAAATTTTCTAAATTTTTCCTAAATTTTATGAGGGGTAACATTGTCAATATTGTCAAAAAATTACAAAAAATTTGAATTTTTTAAAATTTTAAACTGAGTATACAGATTTATTACCGTAATAAAAACCAACATAGGACAGCTTTCCAAATAGAATTTAATGCTTGTTTGACATAGTTATGAGTTTTTTAAGATATGATTTTTTGAAAATTTATCAGCAGAAATTATCCATAAATATCAATTCAAAGAATGCGAATATTTTATGAACGACTTAAAGACTATTCTTTTTACCATTCAATTCGATTTTAAAAAAGTTTATTTCTACATTAAACCATTAAATTATATACAATATTTATTTATTTATTCTATATAAGAATGATCTTTACAAAAATATCTCTTTGAGTAATACGAAATCTTTTAATATTTCGTTTTCTCCAAACTTATGAATGAAAAATTTGAATATAAATAAAATTTGAAATCCATTTTTGTTGCCAGGTGTTTTTGTGGGGCTGCAGGTGCGTACATTGTTTTTCATTCGCCGGGTGCTATCAAATTGTCGGTATCAGCGAGAATTATGTGTATTTTGTGTTGGGGATTCTGGGGGCCATCGGCTTTAGCTTTGGCCCCCACGCACTGGTGTCTCGTCATTTTGCTCTCCTTAACGAGGCGCGTGGCTTGTTTTTATTTTCTCCCGTTTCCCACAGCCTTGCATGTAGAGCAAAAGCACACCTACTATATACAATACAAATATTTATATGCAAATTAACTCACCGCCGAATTTTTGGCAAGTTTTTGTGGTTGTACGGGAGAAAGGCCTTGACATTGGGCATGTGTGAGGGAAGCTCTGTAAAGGAAAAAAAAAATAATTAAAATTAAAATACAAAAGAGATAAAGTGAGTAGTAACAGTGATAAGGTTGAGGGATTAGAATATAAAATACTCATTACATGATTTGCTTAAATTAAATTTTTGCTATATTGAACGAATATTTTAGCTGGCTTGTTTGTTATTAATTTAGATTAAAATGTATATTTGTAGCTCCTTACAATTATAAATTTATTAATTGAGATATAAATCATACTGAAATATTTGTAAAATTACCTAAAAATATTTTAATTTTGTTTTTATATATGATTTACTCACTTTACTTGTCGGAATTAATTATATAAATGCTTTAATTTCTTTTTCCAATATTCAAGCACAAATATTCAACTATTTCCGAGCCCTTTTAATTAAAATTAAAAAAGGTGTTTTGTTATAATTATTATTTTTATAACTTCTTGATAAAAATAAACTTATATACCCCACCAGTAAGGGGTATAAAACTCGGACACATGCCGGGTAAAAAAAAGAAAAAATGATCGAGTACGCTGAGTACCAAGCTGTTGGCGCATGTCACTCGCTTTGTGATTGTTATTATTTCCAACAATTATAACACGTAACACGCTCGCTCGCTTGCACAAACACACGGTCAAAGCCGTCGCAAATTCTAAAAGCTGATAGCCTAAAAATAAATACATACATCTCCCGGCATGAGTATCGTATCAATTGATAACCGCTTTTGTCGAGTAATTCTGTTCCCAAGAAATTGCGACACAAGACATATATTTTTTGGCAAGCTTGATCAGTTACACTTAAATAAAAATTGTTGACAAATAAATGAATTAGTTGTTAGAATATAGATGGTGAAGGGTTTCTTTTAACTATATTGTTGTGATAAGTAATGGAAAATTATAATATATAAAAATACAAGAAAATAAAATAAAAAAATAAATAAATGGGTAAATTTTTAATTGAAATTTTGAATGTTAAGACTTGTTTAAGAATACAATACTGATGAGAACAGAAAACACATATTATAGCATAAAATAAAATAAAAAAATTTAAATTTGTTCTAAATTTAAAATGTAAACAATGTATTTAGAAAAATTCATATTTTTTCTCAAGTGTTCCCAAATAATTCTTAAAGTCATCATGAAATCTCTTAATTAATCATTCAGTAATTTATAGTTTAAGAAGACCTAGTCTCGTTGCTAATTATAGCTTTAAATTCCCCCAAATAAAATTGCATTATCAAGACTTCACCGAGAAGAATTTGTTTTCAAAAAGTAAGATTATTTTGGGTACAAGGTTAGTTTATTTTTATTTATACTTTATCAGCTGTTATTTCCTTGGCCACCTGACCGACGCATGTTCTTTAGGCTAAATTTGCCATTAGAATTGAGTACGCACTTTCATTTTATGGTCATTTATGTGGGCAGAACAAGTCAATATGGCCATATAAAGCGTACTCAGCGGACTCAGTGCTATAAGGTTCTATGGGCTTCTTTGGGTTGGGAAAGCCATTGCATTGACGCAAGAGAATGGCACGCCCCTCCACTTTGGATGGCAATTAAATGACACTTTTGCTGGCGAATAAAATGGTTGATTCAAATGGGTGGCCTTTGGCGGTACAAATTTGTTGGTGGCGCGAAAAAGCAAAAGAGAAAATAATGCAAATGGCCAGCAGGCATGTGCGTGTGTCTCTGTATGTGTGTGTCTTTATGGTCGTGTTCCTTTTGTTTTACGCGCTTACACGTGTCGGCAATTGAAATAGAAAAGCGTCTACATGCCGCAAGCAGACACAGCCATTAAAATCACGCATACGCCCCGTATGATACGTATCGAGGTGGCGGTGGGAAAATCAGAAGGAGCTGCAGCTACGGCTCATGTGGTATGCTAATTTTGCTTTTTATTGTTCGCCCTTTTTTGCAGCCATCTCCGTCAGAAGCAGACGATTAAAGCGAAACAGGAAATCAGCCATCGCCCCGTTTACCGTTAGTTTCGTTAGCAGCGACATCCGCAGAGAGGCTGACTGAGGCAGAGGCAGAGGCAGAGGCTGCCGGCTGCTGACAAAAGCCAAAGGCCATTGAATTGCCTTTTCATTACGAAAACGGCGAGAAAGGCCGGGCTTGGATATATATATACAAATACAGTGGGACTTCAGTAAGTTGAACTTAAATAGTTAATTGGGGTTAGCCCTTGGTAATAAATTGTTTAAAATTAAAACCTCACTGAAACACTTTTAATATCTTGATTTTGGTCTTGATTAATAATATTTATGGTAGTTTAATAATAGATAAAAACACAAAAACTCTACGATTTTCTCTTTATTATGGTAGATAAAATAACTACCATATTTTTTATACAATATATTATATAGAAATAAACATTTTAATGTGTTACCTTGCCTTAAAATTCATAGGATTTAAAGTTAAATAGTTCAAATAATTAAATATACTATATATTTTATTTTATTATTTTACCCAAAAATTTAAGAACCAATTTTTATATTTTCCTCGAAATATTTTATGTTTTTAGTTACAGAATTCCTTCTGTATTTATGTATGTACCTACATCCATCCACCCGTCAGCGCAAACACGGCCAAGCAACTCATTGAAACACTCACACAGAGACAGGCGCTGGCAAGGGGGAGGAGGAAGCGAACGCAATCGGCCGTAACAAAATTTCCGACACGTGCGACAAAATTGCCTTCCGAGAGGGGGGTTGGTAGGGGTAGGGGTCGGGTCGGTTCGGTTCGGTTGGGTTGGGATGCCTGCCAGCTGTGGGGTTGCTCTGCCCGTAGGTGCCCGCCCGGTTTAGGCAACCAGAAAGGCAAGAAACCAAAACAAACTCAAACCTACGTTGGCTTGTGGGTTTCCCCTAATTTCTGGCAGTGTGTGTGTGCTCTCGAATGTTGCCTCAACATTGTTGCGGAAACATTTCCGCTGGCCGAGAGATGCGTTGGCGACTGTTCGATGAATGTGTGTCAATGGTTCTTCTGGTCGTGTCTATAAATAGTTTTAATTTTGATGGCTGCTCAGACATGAGCATGTGCAAATATAAAAGTCAAGCCTGGCAGCACACTTTATTGGACTTATATTCCGCCGATAACGGGAGCGATAAAGCCTGTGGGATTAATTTGCGTGCACAAGTCAGTTTGTTAATTAGTGACTAATCAGCTGAAACGTGGAATACTAATCGGTGTGGTAAGTGATTTTTAAGTTCGACTATTGAACATTTAGTTTTTATGATAGAATCAGAATCAGTTGAATTAAATATATGTAAATGGAAAGTATACAAATTGAAACAAAATATGTATTTAAATAAGTGTGTTTTATAGAACTCAAATCGCTAAAGATATTTGCTTTTAGTTTTTAATAATAACCGATTTTTCATATAATCTTTTGGCAACATTTTTTTAAATAAATATTGTACTATAAATTCCTACTAGCATTTTTGTTAAAAAGGGGTTAAGTTAATATATAAAATATAATTAAATAAAAAGATAGAAATAATAATAATATGTAATAAATAATTTGACCTTTAAATTGGTTGACTATTTCAGGGGCAAATAATTATCAATAAAATGGATAATTAATAATAAATAAACTATATTTTAATCCATAAATTATTATTATTTCTCTGTACTTGAGTAGTAATAAATAATAAAATATGTCAAAAAAATATCAAAATTTACTGACTATTTTAAGGCATTTAAATAATTAATCTTTAGTAACATTATTTAGCATCATTATTGGCCTCTATGGCTTCGCCACATTTGTGGGGTGCACGGCACTGTTTGGCGACTGCTGAGCTGCCGTTAAAACGTGGGTCGGTCGACGGGTCGCGTTCATTCTGCTTTGGGCGGTTGAAGCGTTCACAACTCGGGCAAAGAGACTGGAAGAGCGCCGTGCTTTCCGGGAGTTTCGAGTGAGAGAGAGAGAGCAAACGCCGAGTTCGCATATCGGCCATCGGCATATCCGTGTTTGTTGTTTGCCAGCGCGTGTGTTCGTTGGTGTATCAGTGTGTGTGTGTGCACTTTGTGCTTGCCGTTATCGTTGTTGTTTTTGTTGTTGTTTTTGTTGTGCGACGGCCACACGCGCAACGAAAGCGAAAGTTTTGTTTGGCGCGCGTGTTGCCATTGGCGTCTATGAATTTGCACACACACGTCCCGCCGCCGCCGCCGCCGCTGCCGAGAATAGATTAAAAGCGTGCGAAAACAAATATAAATAAATATCTGTACAACAACCACAACAAGAAGAAGAAAAAGCGGAAAAATAATGCTCATTATTTCCAATGAGAGTGCATTAAATTAAGGGTATCTAGCGGAAAAAAAAGTCAGCGCTAAACATCCCCCACACACGCCAGCATTATCCTCGGTAAGTCCCAACGCTCGTGAAGAGGTTTTTGGCCATAAATCTCCGAGCATTAGCGTTTAGCATTTGCCAACATTTCGTGTGCCACACGTGCCTCAGCAGCGCGGCAGCATAATAATAAAGAAAAAAAGAAAAAATTGCACTTGACAGCCGACTTCCCGATGCTGAAAGCTCTCCTTCTCGCAACTAGAGATGCTGCCTCGGATTTCCCAGCCTCTTGAACCAATTTCGTGTTGTTTTTTTTCTCTGTGCTCGCCTCACCTTCTGAAGGACGAATTTAGGTCAGGATCCGTGGGCTTCATGAGATGACGCATACCATGGATGCCCTTTGGCATTTTCCTCGTTGCAGAGTGCTGCAAGTTGCAACTCTTGACTGCAACGCGATGGCGGGTTACATGGCGTATGCGCAATATTGATTTCTTAAGCTTCCCCTTAAAACCAAACAAATGTGTGTGGCTTTTAAAGCTCAAAGTTAGAAAAGTAAACAAATTAGAGAAATAAATAAAGGGACAGCAAAGCATATGTGAAAGATTTACTTCTGTGTGCGAGGAAATAAATAAAAAAAGGGAAGTCCCAAAAAGGGGTTTTATCCAGACAGAAGACCCTAATGAATGCTTTTAATAAATAATATTTCCAGTTCTTTGGAGATTTCCAATGTTTACCTTTAGTTTTGAAATCTTTTCCAGTTTAATCTCCACAAGAAAAGAAAGAACAAATTCCAGCATGTGTTACCATTTAGACCTTTCTTTGAATTTTTTACCGTCGAATTCCCCGAAATAAGATTAAAAATATAACTTCCTTCCTTCATGGCTAGACACCTTAATGGTTTCTTTTGTTTTTTGTTTTTTTTTTCTAACCATAAAACCAGACACCTAAGCGTGTGAAATATTTGTGAGGAGAGCAGCTCAAACCAAAACCTCACCCGAGGTTACAGTCTTCTCAGAGAAATAAAGAATAGAGAAGCTGGGGTTTTTTTCTGGTTCACTTTTTTTTTGCTGCTGCCTTTTTTTTATGAAGTGCTAAATAGAAGCGATGGCTCAGCTAAAGTGAATCAAGCTGTGACTTTTACAATCGACAGCTGTTTGTTTATTTATTTACTTACTGGGAAACCAATGCAGTTGTTTAACTAAGACTTTTTGCTTGAGAAGGCATTGGGTAAAATCTTTGTCTTTTCAGTTGGGTATTATAATGTTTACTTTATAGAAAGTTGTTTTTAAAAGCTAACCAATATGGCGGGACTTATTTATTTATAAATAAATGAAAAAAGAGAAAATATGTGGCATATATTGAATTACTTAAAAGTCTGAAATAACTAGGGATTATTAATATTTTTATCCGCAATATTTTTTGAAAAATTATAACTTAAAAAACTCATAACATTGCCAAAAAAGCATTAACTTCAATTCGAAAAGCTTTCCTTTGTTAGTTTTTATTACGGTAATAAATCTGCATACTCAGTTTAAAATTTTAAAAATTTTAAATTATTTGTCAATTTTTGACAATTTTAAAAAATTTGAAAAAAAATTCGAAAATTTATTTTTCCTTCAGACATGGCTAGATCGATTCGGCTGTTCATGCTGATCAAGAATAAATATGGTTTATAGGGTTGAAAATGGTTTCTTCACAGCATTTTAAGCTTCTGACTAAAATTATAATAGCCTGCAAGAGTGTAAAAATATTACTTAAATGTTCTATAAATATTTCTTGCAAATACTATTACGTTGAAAGGATAATGTCAGGGCTTTCATTTGAGTTTCAAATATAAAGCAGCTGAAGCACCTTGTCAGGGTATTCCATACAGCTGGTCAGCTATCTGGCATACATGGCGTATACTTAACGTGAAAACCATTAAATTAAGTATACGCAGTGTGTGTCTTAAAAGAAAAAGGGTTCCAAAGGGGTTAAGTTTAAAAGTCTCATAGCTAAGCCAAAAATGCATTAATTTTAATTAGGAACGCTGTCCTATGTTAGTTTTTGTGAGATTAATAAATCTGTATACTTAATAAAGAATTAATAAATTTTTAAAATTTGATCAATTTTTAAAAAATTAAATGATGTAACCCGATAAAAAAATATTGAAAAAATTTGTACATTTTTTGTTCTACCGCAGATGGCTAGATTGATTCGGCTGTTTATGCTCATCAATAATATATATGATTTATAGGGTCGGAAATGATTTTTTTACTGCATTACAAGCTTAAGACTAAAATTCGGACAGAGTATAAATAAATATAGATATGCATATGTTTCTGTAAGCACCCCCTGAAGGGCTGAGTATTCTCTTTTAATAACTTTACATAGGTGTCACAGGTGCGTGTCACAATAATAAATTTCCTTTGGCAAAATGTATCTAATGCCATCGGTGTCCCTTCGTTTTTGTGTCCTAAAAGCCAACCGGAAGTTGCCATATACATACGTGGCCATTTTAATGTACAGGTGGCAATGCCCTGCCACCCCCTCCCCCACCTACCATATCTATTCCATATCTATATCTGCGATAGGTAACTCTTGCGCGTGTTCGGGAGGCCGCTCCATTCATGACACCCCATGACGCCCATAATCGTAGATTTATCATTTTTGCTCGAACGCGCGCGTTCCGAATTACAACAACAAACAAAATATGAGCCCCATCCGATATATAAATATAAACAAACAACAACGAGGGCAGCAGAAAAAAAAGAAACTGAAAAAAAAAATATTCAAAGCTGCTATGCGGATCGGCAGAGACGTTGACGGCGACGGCGACGCCAGCTTTGAACTCGAAAGTGGAGAAACGGGAGCGCGCGCAGCTTGGCCGGCGCAACACGTGCGTCGTTAATTCAATACACAAAAAAAAGTAATAATAAATATAAAACAAAAAATACACACTCACAAAATATACACCTAAAAAAAAAAAAAAACAAGAACAACTCGGCCATTCTCTCTAGGCCGCTGCGAGAGTGGGAAGGAGGGAGATAGTAGCATAAAAGTTCATTAACGGCATGTGAGCTCTCCTTTGTGTGTGTGAGAGCCATTGTTTTTGCCCGGCTCTTCTGTGGCTTGTGCTGCAGATTAGGGCGAAGGGGGGAGGAGAAAGGAGCAGGGTGAGAGCAGCTTTTATCGCTTTTCTCTCTCCCACACTCGAGGCTCTCATGCACAGTGGGAAAAATTTGAGAAAAGGGAAGTATGCGGTAGATTGCATCACTTGACGAAGTGTTCTTGGGGTTGTGCAGAGAGAAAAAATATTAAAGACTCAAAAATAATATTAATATTTGTTATAAAATTATTTATATTTTTTTAACCATTCAAGGTAATAAAAAAATTTAGATTTATAAGCAGATGTCAAACTATAAAAAGATTCGCTATAAATAAAAAATTGTTGGCCTCTCCATAACCATAACTCCCTTTTTTATAAAATATAGAAAGATAAAGGTGCTAAACCATTATTTTAAGAACTTTTAAAGCAAATTTTATAATATAAAATATCAAAAAACTTTGATTTCCTCTTTTTTAAATATTTCTTTCAATGTGCTTTGCACGAGTTTATTGTATTCTCTTCGCCCTTGTCTATTCGCTGTGCTCGTGTCTGTGAAATTATCGCCAAGTGGGCTACGACGTCGACTGCGATGCCCATAGCGACTGCGATTGAATGACAAAGTCTTCTTTGTTTTTGTCTGTGCTTCTCTTTTTTTTTTTTGGTGATTTTAATTTATGCAGGCAACTACAAAATTAATTCTCTTTTCGCCGTGGCTTTTGGTCATGTCGTTTGGCGTTTGTGTTCGGTCGCACGTGTGCGGCACTTCACGCTTGTGTGAGTGGGGTGGGTGCTTCTGTGTGTGTGTGTGTGTGTGTTGGGGGGGGGGGCATTATTTTAAACTGTAACATCTAAAAATGCTAACGGCTTCTGTGAGGGACCCCCATGAATGCCAAATGTGAAACACGAGACACAGCAATAACAATAAAAAATTGCCTAATTTCTATAGTATAATTAATTCGGTTAATGGCTTATTAAGGGGATCAAGCTGTGGGATCCATTGAGATTTATTCAAAATCCCAGAGCATAAATTAACCGTTTCCGGAAGGAAATTAATGTTTATTAATAGAATGGATAAAGTTTAAAGAGATTCTGTTCGGGTGAGGGAAATTGAATTTAATTAAATTTTGTAAATTTAGGGTCTCCTGAAGAATGTATTATGAGATAATTTGTAATTTTCAGATATTAAATAATTTTTTTTTAATTTCTACACTTAGCGTGTTCTCAAACCAAAAGGTGAAAATTTGAACTCTCTTATTGGAATACGTGTCGTATACGTAATATTTACCAATTGATTAGAACGGAAATTCCCATTAAGGTATGTGACATAACTATAGTGTTTGCTTTTCGGTAATTAAAATGACAGACAATTAAATTGAACCCCAGCCAAAGCTCAAATAGGCAAAGTTATAAATGGGATTTCTCATCATTTATTATTCTGAACACAAAGTGGAAATTTTACGTTTACAATTATTATCATAAATACTTACTCAGTAGGTAATTGTAACCAAAATATTATTTTTTTCTTAGTAAATGTAAAATACTTTTAAAATAATTATTTTTTTAAATATATGTTAGTTTTAAAATGATTTTTAAAACATTTCTCTGCCTTCTCTCTGAAAAACTAAAATTGTATATAACTTTTTACTAGTATTGTATTTTTAAAGTACTTTTACTACTTATCCCACTTGCTTTATTTATTTTTTCCCTGTGTAGTAGCTGCCACTCGACGAGGTTGGCTCTTACACCGTCCTACATCAGCTGTTTGCACTTGGCCATGTTGGGCAAACACTTGGCCAGCTGCCGGGCCATATAGCTAATTGCTGACCCAATAACGAGAGCCACACGACGCCCTAATAAATATGAATACAAATACAAATGTAACTGTGAGCGAGTGAGTGCACGCGCCAGTGTTTGCACTATGTGCTGTGGCGGGGCAGGCGGAAATACTTGTTTGAGGGAAATTAAACCGAATTTCCCCATTTCCCCG